CCCATTGGTCTGACAGTAGCTGTAGCCCAGGGGCCTGAAGTAGCTGTACCAGGGCCCGACAGTGCTTAGCCTAGGGCCTGACAGTAGCTGTAGCCCAGGGGCTGACAGTAGCTCTAGCCCAGGGGCCTGACGTTGCTGTAGCCCAAAGGGGGCCTAAAGTAGCTGTAGCCCCGGGCCTGACAGTAGCTGTAGCCCAGGAGCCTGACAGTAGCTGTAGCCCAGTGGCCTGACAGTAGCTGTAGCCCAAGGGCATGACAGTAGCTGTAGCCCAGGGGCCTGACAGTAGCTGTAGCCCAGTGGCCTGACAGTAGCTGTAGCCCAAGGGCATGACAGTAGCTGTAAACCCAGGGCCTGACAGTTTGCTGTAGCCCAGTGGCCTGACAGTAGCTGTAGCCCAGGGGTCTGAAAGTAGCTGTAGCTCAGGGGCCCGACAGTAGCTGTAGCCCAGGAGCCTGACAGTAGCTGTAGCCCAGTTGCCTGACAGTACCTGTAGCCCAAGGGCATGACAGTATCTGTAGCCCAGGGGCCTGACAGTAGCTGTAGCCCAGTGGCCTGACAGTAGCTGTAGCCCAAGGGCATGACAGTAGCTGTAGCCCAGGGGCCTGACAGTAGCTGTAGCCCAGTGGCCTGACAGTAGCTGTAGCCCAGGGGTCTGACAGTAGCTGTAGCCCCGGGCCTGACAGTAGGGTGTTAGCCCAGGGGTCTGACAGTAGCTGTAGCCCAGGGGCCTGACAGTAGCTGTAGCCCAGGGGCCTGACAGTAGCTGTAGCCCAGGGGCCTGACAGTAGCTGTAGCCCAGTAGCCTGACAGTAGCTGTAGCTCAGGAGCCTGACAGTAGCTATAGCCCAGGGGTCTGACAGTAGCTGTAGCCCAGGGGCCTGACAGTAGCTGTAGCCCAGAGGCCTGACAGTAGCTGTAGCCCAGGGGTCTGACAGTAGCTGTAGCTCAGGGGCCTGACAGTAGCTGTAGCCCAGGGGCCTGACAGTAGCTGTAGCCCAGTGGCCTGACAGTAGCTGTAGCCCAGTGGCCTGACAGTAGCTGTAGCCCAGGGGTCTGACAGTAGCTGTAGCTCAGGGGCCTGACAGTAGCTGTGGCCCAGGGGCCTGACAGTAGCTGTATCCCAGTGGCCTGACAGTAGCTGTTCCCCCGGGGCCCCGACAGTACTGTAGCCCATGGCCTGACAGTAGCTGTAGCCCAGTGGCCTGACAGTAGCTGTAGCCCAGGGGTCTGAAAGTAGCTGTAGCCCAGGGGCCCGACAGTAGCTGTAGCCCAGGAGCCTGACAGTAGCTGTAGCCCAGTTGCCTGACAGTAGCTGTAGCCCAAGGGCATGACAGTATCTGTAGCCCAGGGGCCTGACAGTAGCTGTAGCCCAGTGGCCTGACAGTAGCTGTAGCCCAAGGGCATGACAGTAGCTGTAGCCCAGGGGCCTGACAGTAAACTGTAGCCCAGTGGCCTGACAGTAGCTGAAGCCCAGGGGTCTGACAGTAGCTGTAGCCCAGGGGCCTGACAGTAGCTGTAGCCCAGGGGTCTGACAGTAGCTGTAGCCCAGGGGCCTGACAGTAGCTGTAGCCCAGGGGCCTGACAGTAGCTGTAGCCCAGGGGCCTGACAGTAACTGTAAACCCAGTAGCCCGACAGTAGCTGTAGCTCAGGCCGACATAGCTTAGCCAGGGGCTGACAGTAGCTGTAGCCAGGGGGGCCCGAATAGCTGTGCCCCGAGGGGTGAAAGTAGCTGTGCCCCGGGGGTGCCCGTACTGTAGCCAGGGCCCGACAGTAGCTGTACCCCCGGGGCCCGACAGTGCGTGCCCCGGGCCCCCGACGTGTGTAGCCCAGGGCCGAAAGTAGGTGCCCAGGGGGCGACAGTAGCTGTAGCCAGGGGCGCGTAGCTGGCCCAGGGGCCCTGACAGTAGCTGTACCCAGTGGCCTGCATTGCTGTAGCCGGGGGCCTGAATTTCTGTAGCCCAGGGCTGACAGTTGTAGCCAAGGGCCTGACTGCTGTACCAGGGGCCTGAAATAGTGTAGCCAGGGGCCCGACGTCTGTGCCCAGGGGCCCCGACGTGCTGTAGCCCCGGGCCCCGACAGAGCTGTAGCCCGAGTGACAGTAGCTGTAAGTGGCTGACGAGCTGTACCAAAGGGGTGAAGTAGCTGTAGCCCGGGGCCGCGGGCTGTAGCCCCGGCCTGACAGTACTGTAGCCAGGGGCCCGCGTATGTAGCCCCGGGGCCTCAGTAGCTGTAGCTGGGGCCTGACAGTACTTAGCCCAGGGCTGACAGTAGCTGTAGCCAGGGCCCGACTGGTAGCCCAGGGGGTGACAGTTCTGTAGCCAGGGGCCTGAATACTGTAGCCCAGGGGCCCGACGTAGCTGTAGCCCAGGCCTGAAAGACGTAGCCCGGGCCTGACAGAGCTTAGCCCATTTGGCCCGACAGTAGTGTAGCCCAGGGGGTGACAGTAACTGTGCCCAAGGCCCGACAGTACTGTAGCCAAAATGGGTGACAAGCTTAGCCCAGGGGCTACAGTACAAACCCGGGGCCCGAAGGGGCTGTTCCCCAGGGGTGACAGTAGCTGTGCCAGGGGCCCACAGTAGCATACCCCAGGAGCCCCTGCATAGCTTAGCCCCGGGCCTGACAGTAGCTTGCCCAAGCCTGACAGTTGCTTACCCAGGGGCCCCGTGCTGTAGCCCAGGGCCCGCATTACTTACCCAGGGGCTGAAAGTAGCTTTGCCCCGGGGCCTAAGTAGTGTAGCCCAGGGCCTGAATAGCTGAGCCAGGGGGGGCCGCAGTAGTGTCCCCAAGGGGCCCAAGTAAACTGTAGCCAAAGGGCCCCGACAATAGCTGAGCCAGGGGCCCCGACAGTAGCTGTAGCCCAGGGGCCGAGTGCTGTAGCCCAGGGGGCCCGAAGTTCTGTAGCCAGGGCCGCAGTGCTGTAGCCCAGGGCTGACAGTAGCTTAGCCCGGGGGTGACAGAGCTGTGCCCAAAAGGGCTCAGTAGCTTAGCCCCGGGCCTGGCAGTAGCTGTACCCCAAAGGGGCCCGCAGAGGTGTGCCCCGGGGGGGACAGTAGCTGTGCCCAGGGCCCTGACAGTAGCTGTACCCAGGGGCGACAGTAGTTACCCAGGGCCTGACAGTTGGTAGCCAAAGGGCCTGACAATAGGAGCCAAGGGGCCCCCGACGTGCTGTACCAGGGGCCCGAAGGGAGTGTAGCCCAGGGGGCCCCCTGTGTGCTCAGGCCCGAAAGTAGCGGTGCCCCGGGGGAAGAGTTTTAGCCCCGGGGGCCGACAGTAAGGGGCCCTGGCCTGCAGTAGCGTTCCCAGGGGGGTACATAGCTGTAGCCCCGGGCCTGAAAGTAGCTGTACCAGGGGCTGACAGTACTGTGCCCAGGGGCCCACAGTACTGTACCCCCGGGATGACAGTGCTGACCCCGGGGCCTGCAGTAGCTGTAGCCAGGGGCCTACAGGGCTGTAGCCCCGGGGCCCGAAATAGCTTAGCCCGGGCCTGCGTAGTGTACCCAGATGGGGGGTGACATAGCTGTATCCCAGGGGCTGACAGGCGTAGCCCCGGGGCCGACGAGCTGTAGCCAGGGGGCCCGAAAGTAGGTAGCCCCGGGCCCGACGTAGCTGTAGGCCCCGGGGCCTGAAGAGCTGTTTCCAGGGGCCCGACAGTGTACCCAGGGCCTAAAAGTTGTACCGGGGCCTGCAGTAGCTCGCCCTGGGGCCTGACGTAGGGTTTGCCCAGGGGCCAAAGTAGCTGTAGCCTGGGGCCTGACAGTAGCTGTAGCCCAGGAGCCTGACAGTAGCTGTAGCCCAGGAGCCTGACAGTAGCTGTAGCCCAGGGGCCTGACAGTAGCTGTTGCCCAGAGACCTGACAGTAGCTGTAGCCCAGGGGCCTGAAAGTAGCTGTAGCCCAGAGACCTGACAGTAGCTGTAACCCAGGGGCCTGAAAGTAGCTGTAGCCTAGGGGCCTGACAGTAACTGTTGCCCAGGAGCCTGACAGTAGCTGTAGCCCAGGGGCCTGACAGTAGCTGTAGCCCAGCGGCCCGACAGTAGCTGTAGCCCTGGGGCCTGACAGTAGCTGTAGCCCAGGGGCCTGACAGTAGCTGTAGCCCAGGGGCCTACGAAATCTTAATCCGGCACTGATTATGAGAGAGCACTCAGACCCCGAAAAACTGAGATGTGCATCTTAGGAGAAAGGCACAGAAATAACCTACTGGAGACAGTCTTTTCCAAGAGGCAGCGACTGGAAGAGCTGCTACCATCCAGTAACCTTCTCTCTACCCTCTCTCCCACCATCACACTCCCAACTCTTCAAGTTCAATTATTATTATAATCAAGAGCTCTTGAAGTCCAAGCTACAGAAAAAATTACACTTTTCGGGACTTGCAACGAATTAACTGTAAAATCCTGCATTTTTGGTTATTTGAGTTACGATAGGTTTGAAGGATCGATGCGTCTTCTGGAAGGGGTTACTATCGTATCTCAAGGACCCATTTTATTATGACCTTCATAGTGAAAATCTTTTAATGTTAATACTTAAGTTGGCTGGATTTCGAAAAGCAGAAATATGCAATTTCAGTTATATCAATGATACGGATAATTTTTCAATTATTTTATATTAGGTTAGGTTAGGTCAGATTCGTCTTAGTTGATGACCCGCGTTTCGAGCTTTTTGGTCATCTGACCGAGGCTTTTCGCTGGCTTACCGGTCCACCCCTTTAAAAATAATGGTCATTTATAACCAATTAGGTATAGGCGTTAGGAGTTCACAATAAACTATCCATTGCCTTCTACAGGATGGATAAGGGGTACACAAACTCTCCACTGCCTCTATTGTTTGTATATTGGGTACAGATATTATATTCACAAAACAGCGCAAATCCTGGAATGGTAGTACAGCACTTGGGTAATGGGAGGCAATCAGGTTTGATCCAAGGGAATTAAAGATAGTTCCACATCTCACCTTCCACATCGCACCTTAAATTAGTCGATTCTGCTGTTAAATCCTATTTCTTACCAAAATCAAGACGAACGGGGCGAGGAGCAAGGCTAGAATGATAGCCAACCACACAGTGTCTGTGAGAGGGTAGTAGAGTGACTGCCACTGGGGTTTTATACCCGGCTGAGCCATGCTGAAGTCCAGAGACCCATATTCGTACACCCAGGAATAGTCGTAGCGCTGCAAGCGTTCTGGCAGCATATTGTGGTACACAGTGGCCATGAAAGCCACCCGTTCCTCAACACGTTCTGTTACCTGTTACGATAGTTTGGTGTTATTGTTATAAGACTCAGGGAATCGTAATGACACGATTGCAAACAACTTTAGTCTTAGCAATGGGAGATTGTAATGTTTTACATGTTTCTAAATAATGAAAAATGCATTAAAATGTATAAGATTAGTCAATTTTACTCTAAGATACCATTGATATGCAAGGAGATATACATTAGACAGGACCTTTCAATAGAAGATAATGTAAAAATGAAAGGGAGGGGAATGATTTTCTATTTTTTAGCTAACATACGAGTAAATTTTACGTTATTCCTAGTAATGATCCTCGTAGACAGTTTTAATGACCCTCGTGTAGTAGATAGTTTTAATGACCCTCGTGTAGTAGATAGTCTTAATGACCCTCGTGTAGTAGATAGTCTTAATGACCCTCGTGTAGTAGATAGTCTTAATGACCCTCGTGTAGTAGATAGTCTTAATGACCCTCGTGTAGTAGATAGTCTTTTTAGTATGATAATAAGATGTTATCTTCATTATAGAATAATAAGAAGATATTATAACCTTTATAATAGTAAGGTAAAAGGACCCTAATGGAAATAAGTCACTCTGTCTGACTTTTTTGGGTTATCCCAGGTTCTCTACACATATGCTGCTATGTATGATAATTCTATGTAACTGTATTTGTGTATACCTGAATAAACTTACTTACTTAACGATTATGTAAACACCGTTTAGGGTAAAAGGCAGAAACTCATTTTTTTTCCTCTGGTAACACTATTTTTATATTTTATTTAAAACATTACAATATAATGAATAACTAAAACCAATGAGAGTACATTATAGTAGCTATATACACTTCAAGCCGCCTAGGATGTCTATAATTCGTATATAAGTAAACGTAGGATGACATTGTGGCCCAATATGTCATCCTGCCACAAAAATACACCGAAAAACATGCTGTAATAAATCACACACCTCTACCTCCTCCACCACAATAGATCCTAAATAATCACATAGTTCGACCTATGGCATATATGTTTAGGAATATATTTTATGTTACTTAAAACATTATGACAATAAATATTAAAAAACATCATAAATAATGATATAATTACCTGGACTGAACTTTCCCGTGTATTGTAACTCTCACAAAATGATAATACACGAGTTCCATTATGCCTTGTAACCCATCCACCCTACATCACATTGGTCCGTTATATATAATTCACCACTAGATTACCCCACCTTGACCCCCCCAAATGTCTTACATTCAAGGCTTCCTGACCATAACATTGCCACTTACGGCGTACATTACATATTACATAATGACGGTATTCTTACATAAGCTATCAATACAAACAGCGATTTAACAAAGTGTCTGATAACAACACTGGACAACTAAACTTTACACCTCACGTCATGATACAACTTGTACCTCTAAGTGCCTGGACACACATGACTGTGTGTCCAGGCAGCTGGAGAGCCTCCAGGGGCTGGAGCCCAGGGGCCTCCGCCAGCTGGAGAGCCTCCAGGGCCTGGAGACGAGGGATTTCCGCCAGCTGGAGGCCCTGACCCACTCATTACCCACGCCACACCCTCGTGTGTCGAATCCATACCCAAACTGCAACCCATGCACACCAAACACGCTTCATGTGCCTACGGAGAGCGCCCACACACAAGATTGTACTAACAAACAATATATACACCAACACCTGGTCCCCCCCTCGGGTAGAACCAACCGTAACACCCCCCCATCCATGATATACATACCGTACTCCACACATACCGGGAGTACACACCGACATGTTCTGTATTACTTAAAACAGCAATTATGACAACGGCTCTGGTGGCCTGGTGGTTAACGCTATGGCTTCACACGGTGAGGGCCTGGGTTCGATTCCCAGCCAGAGTAGAAACATTGGACGTGTTTCTTTCCACCTGTTGTCTATGTTCCCCATCAGTAAAATGGGTACCTGGGTGTTAGTCGACTGGTGTGGGTCGCATCCTGGGACACTGACCTAAGGAGGCCTGGTCACAGACCGGGCCGCGGGGGCGTTGACCCCCGGAAATCTCTCCAGGTAAACTCCAGGTAAACGTCAGTCAAACTAATTATATGGTAAATGTTTACCCTAGTGATAAATATAGACACACAATACATATATAATTTCACCTTAGAAATACAGTGATTCATACAGCTTACCACAAGGTACATTATACTAACATGCTACCACATAAGAGGCTCACTGTTGTATGAAATACAAGAAACATACATATTTAAGACAGCTCTATTTCTTGATTACCCACAACCAGGTCTACACTTCCATCCCCAATTAACACATTACGGTGGACCCCCGGTTAACGATATTTTTTTCACTCCAGAAGTATGTTCAGGTGCCAGTACTGACCGAATTTGTTCCCATAAGGAATATTGTGAAGTAGATTAGTCCATTTCAGACCCCCAAACATACACGTACAAACGCACTTACATAAATACACTTACATAATTGGTCGCATTCGGAGGTAATCGTTATGCGGGGGTCCACTGTATATGAAATGTTCCTGTACACCATAGACACCCCACACACCTCCTTACATCACACTTCTCACCAAATGCACCACTCACGCCCGCTCCTCAACAATTCAGCTCCATTATTTCCCCTTAAGGCTGTAAATCTACGTACTATCTCAGAAAATTTAGAATACTATCTTTCCCCGGTGATGTCCTTATTCCGCCGCTGCGTCCCATAAAACATCGCTGCCAACGCCCTGATGCGCTCCCTTGCCGGCGCGCGTCTTAAAACCCACGAAGTATACAAGAAGTCTATGACAAGATAATCCACTGCATTCTGCACCGGCACCCCCACCCCCTCACATCTAAGCTTAATGTCCTTCAAACACTACTCCCACCTCCACCTACCATACGTAAAACACTGCCAAACCACTCCCTCACCGATTCCTACCTCGTACAAAAATATACCACGTGATGAACGGTGCCAATATCCCCACACACACAACACTCCTGCACACGCATATTACCCAACACTTCCCCAGACGGCAATATATTGTGGAGAAATATGAACATTACCTCCCTGACCACAGCCTTCAGTCGTAACCCATTCAAGCTTTCCCATATGCCATTCCAGGCATACTTAGGATATATACCTTCAACCCAAGAAACCACCTCCCCACCACCTACCTGAGCCAGTCTTCCTATCTTGACCCTGCGTGGGTCCTGTGCAAAAATCAATAACCTCAACATTCCCTCACACACCTGGACATCCTTACCCTTCACCCAACGCCCCAAATCCTTTATCACTCATGCCAAGCCTGTGTCTGCAACCCTACCCTCCCTCAAATAACTGTGTTTAACGTACATACCCAACAACCTTTGATGCAGCACCATTAACCCCAGCCCTCCCTGGCGTACCGGGAGCCACACATCTCTCGACAACCAGTCACAGCCCGAATTCCAAATATATCGATACACGCGCTTCAACAGACACTTCCATCACATGTTTCCAAGGGGTATATACCCGCCACAGGCCACAGCTTACCATACAATATCACTTTCATCACAATAGCACGCTGGCGTAGCGTCAGACCCCCTCACTCCCTGTATGCAATCCCGCCAGTCTACCCAAAACCCTATCCACAGCTCCTTTCGAATTCACCTCCCGCGCCTCCTGAAGATTTCCCATGTGAACACACACCTTAATTTGACTTACCAGGGGCCAACCATCTCCCTGCCCAAAGTCCCCACCCACTCATTAGCATAAACTTTTCCCTATAAATCTTCCTCCCCGTTGCCACGCCAAATCTCTCCACCAACTCACCCACCTCTCGTAAACCCTCAGACCTCCTGAACAGAACCGTGGTATCATCTATGTAACCCACGATCACCAGTTCCACAGATACCACATCCCTCCCCACACCATCCCTTACACCCCATAGCACAACCCTATAAAACAGGTCCTGAAGCAACGCTAATAGAAGCTGTGACAGAGGTCATCCCTGCCGCAGGCCTCGTTCCATCCTAACAAGTATCCCTAGCCTACCATTCACTTGTACCCTCACCATAGCCTGCTCATACAACACGTTAGCCCAATTGACAATTTCCCCTTCACAACGCCACGCTCCACACAGTCATACGCCGCATGCCAATCTAACACTAATACCCACCTTCGCGCCCCCCCTTTCATTTAGAAACCAGCATATGATTCCTTGCCCCACACACATCGATCGCCCAGACACCACATATTAACCCTCATCCAAAACTCTGTCAAGAACTCTTTTCATCCTATTTCCTGACACCTTAGCAGAGTCTTGTGAATATGTGCATGATCGATAATCATTCACATATTCACAAGACTCCTTTTTAGGGATCATGACCACCACACCCGTTCTCTCCTGTTCCCCCAACCTGCCCATGGTTTTCATGGCATTAAATAAAACTACTAAAAATTCACACAAACAGCCCAAATTTTCCTTATAAAAATCGCAAGGGATACAATCAATACCAGGCTATTTTCCCACACTCATTCCCCCAACTGCCGTCCTTATCTCCTCCTCACTTATAAGCCCATTCAAAATCAACCGATCCTTATGCACTAGATTACAACATATCCATTCACCCATTTCACCCAGTGCCTCACAATTAACCCCCACACTCTTATCATGCTTCTCATACCACGCATCCACATAGCCCATACCCTCCGTTGACGATACCTCTCCAATTGCTCCTGAACCTTCAAGGTCATCATTTCCGTTGCCCTGCGACGTTTCCCCTGCTCTCGCAAGGCATATGCTGAAGGACGGTCACCCCATAAGACCTCTTCAAGTCCTCCCACAACCCGCGCCGCATCAAAATTACGATTTTGAATATCCCTAATCAGTTGTTTCAGACCCTCAATCTCACCCACCAGATACACTCCCCCCCCCCATATAGCATTCCTGTAGTTGACCTTCAAGGTAATGTGAAACCCCATATAGAAACCGTCATTCTTCCCTTCCCCGTTTCTGATAAAAAT